ACCCTACACCACTCATTCTCATCCTACACCACTCATTCTCATCCTACATCACTCATTCTCACCCTAAAGTCCACTCATTCTCATCTCATCCTACACCACTCATTCTCATCCTACACCACACATTCTCATCTCAATCTACACCACTCATTCTCATCCTACACCACTCATTCTCATTTCATCCTACACCACTCCTTCTCATCCTACACCACTCCTTCTCATTCTACACCACTCATTTTCACCCTACACCACTCCTTCTCATCCTACAACACTCATTCTCATCCTACACCACTCATTCTCACCCTACACCACTCATTCTCATCCTACACCACTCATTCTCATCTCACCCTACACTACTCATTCTCACATTGCATCACTCATTCTCATCCTACACCACTCATTCTCATCCTACACCACTCCTTCTCACCATACACCACTCATTCTCATCCTACACCACTCATTCTCATCCTAAACCACTCATTCTCATCTCACCCTACACCACTCATTCTCACATTGCATCACTCATTCTCATCCTACACCACTCATTTTCACCCTACACCACTCCTTCTCATCCTACAACACTCATTCTCATCCTACACCACTCATTCTCACCCTACACCACTCATTCTCATCCTACACCACTCATTCTCATCTCACCCTACACTACTCATTCTCACATTGCATCACTCATTCTCATCCTACACCACTCATTCTCATCCTACACCACTCCTTCTCACCATACACCACTCATTCTCATCCTACACCACTCATTCTCATCCTAAACCACTCATTCTCATCTCACCCTACACCACTCATTCTCACATTGCATCACTCATTCTCATCCTACACCACTTGATCTCACCCTAAACCACTTTTTTGCACCCTTCATCAATAATTCTCACCCTTCATCAATGATTCACACCCTACATCATTCTTTCCTTATCCTACACCACACATTCTCACTCAGCATCACTCATTCTTATTCTCCTGTCAATTCACATAGGTCTAAATCCATTGAAAATTAAGATTTACAACCAACAGGTAAGATAAATATATCATTATCTTCTGGATAACTTAAGAAGTCAGGTGTAATAAAGACATGGGTGAATCATGACTCAGACATACATTTAGATACGTCTTATCCAACATCACTGTTATCACAATAATATATAGAAGGTCAGAATTTTCATGATAAACACCATAAAAATATTTTCATTCGGGGCTATAAATACCAGATATTCAGCTAAAACTGGATTTTTCAACCATTGCCACTAGTACTCCAGTCGAGGATATCATTATATCTTATTTGCTTTTAGATTAAGAGAGTACTTTGTAGTGTAGCTCCGTAAAACTGTCATAAAGACAAATATAGTGTTTCCCGATTCTGATTTCTATTTCCAATTAATTTCATTACTGTATCTTTGATCCAGAAGGAAATTGATGGGTATATTACAAGTGTACTGAATGTAGAAATGTATCATGCTTTGTAAAACAGTCATACTGTGTACCAACAAAATCTTAATACACCTGTGTACTGGTCATCAACCAGATCTATTTCAGACAAGCTTTGTAAAACAGTTATACTGTGTACCAACAAAATCTTAATACACCTGTGTACTGGTCATCAACCAGATCTATTTCAGACAAGCTTTGTAAAACAGTTATACTGTGTACCAACAAAATCTTAATACACCTGTGTACTTTTGATCAACGAAAACTAGTATTGTTGGGGGTATGCTTAGGACAATTTTCACATTGTATACTACTAAAACCTAACACAACATACCAGGTAATCTTAACAAGATCTCTGAGGCATTGAAGTTTAATCCTAAGTATTCAAAATGTTTTAGCTATTTCAAGGACGTCATGATTAGTTTATATTCAGTAGCTATCAAAATGCACATTCCTTATTTAAACAACATGTTATGTGGAAGAAAATCTTTCTCAAACGGAATCAGTTTATATAGATGATGATATACCACATGATACTGTATAATTGAAAACATTTCCGAGGGATTTGATTTCACTTTATTAACAGTCATGAATTTAGTATTTTTTTTTAAATTATATAACCAGCAAATATTTATGAAGTAAATTCAAATCCCAGAAAAGAGTATCTTATACATTTAAACTTATAATTAGACAATACATATTTTGTTCATTTTAATGCAAAATGTGTTACTGCAGAAAGTCTTATCCTCAGGATTAACTACTGGGATGATCACCAATATTTCCATTTATTATTCAGTGAACTAGAGGAATTGGAAAGTAGCATTGTTATAGGGAACATTTGATCATGGGAGATATTTCATGAATGTTGTTCTTTTTTAATATTCAATTCATAATTAAGTATTTTAACTAATATGCATGCAATTAATTATTAATCTTTCTTTAATATTCAATTAATTATGTTTTTTTTAGAATTTAGTTAGTAGTTTTAGTTTTTCAACTTTTTGTTAAATACTATTTAACCTAATGATTCATCTGTTTTTATGTGATTTATGTTCCTTTCAGAAATACAGGGAGAGTTTTTAATACTATTGAAGAATACAGAGGGAAGAGAGATAACTCCTGTAAAACTATTTCTGCATCCAACTAATAATTATTTTTTAAAAGGGAGTTAACTCTATATACCTTATGACTTTGCTTCTGACAGAACATGCAATTGAAGTTGCCCAGCATCATAACATCTTTTATCTTTTATGTTATCACTTACAAAAAACAATCATTAATCCAATTTTCTTTTTTTACACATATATTTTTTTTACTACTTTTAGTGGATAATTTTGTCAACAGCAATCAAAACTTAAATGAGAGAACTTTCAGGTCCATTGTACAACTATCATCAAGCAGTTCCTAGACGGAAATTACAAAAGGCTTTATACAGAATATATGATTACTGTAAAGATTGATATTTTCGAGGAGTTATGTTTCTCACTATTTTCAAGGATAAAATAAAATTGCAAAAAAAAAACCCACAAATTTCATCTCAAAATTATAGAAATTTACAGAGAAATCTTTTTTCAGTCTCCAAAATTTCTTGAAAAATACTTCCTGTTGGAACAGATAAAAACGGATAAAACAACCAAAGATGATCATTAAAAAAATATCTTTTATATAAAATCAAATAGCACAATCATGAATATTTCCTATAAAAAAAGTATGAAATATGTACACAAGACGTATCAACACCTGGCAGTTATTAACAGATTCTATTCCTCGGCAGTTATTAACAGATTCTATTCCTCTGCAGTTATTAACAGATTCTATTTCTTGGCAGTTATTAACAGATTCTATTCCTCGGCAGAACTTTTAACATTGACCAAGTTGACTTTTTTATTTTGTTATTTCTCATCAAACATATTTTCAGATTTTCCTATGAACTTCAGATTCTTAATCAGACCCAATTATTTGGGTCCATTTCTTGGCTTCGAATGCAAAAAATAAGTGAATTAGAGAATAAAGTTCACTTTTTTCCACAAGGTAGAGGAATTAAAAACGCAATTTGGGAATATATAGATCATAGTTGATCTCTAGAAATAAATCTGCCTTAACTTCCCTTAAACCTGCCTTAACTTCCCTTAAATCTGCCTTAACTACTCTTAAACCTGCCTTAACTTCCATTAAACCTGCCTTAACTTCCCTTAAATCTGTCTTCACTATTCTTAAACCTGCCTTAACTTCCCTTAAATCTGTTTTAACTACTCTTAAACCTGCCTTAACTTCCCTTAAATCTGCCTTCACATTACTTAAATCTGTCTTCACTTCTCTTAAACCTGCCTTAACTTCCCTTAAACCTGCCTTAACTTCCCTAAAATCCGCCTTAACTTCCCTTAAATTTGCCTTCACATCCCTTAAATCTGCCTTAACTTCCCTTAAATCCGCCTTAACATGCCTTAAATTTGCCTTCACATCCCTTAAATCTGCCTTAACTTCCCTTAAACCTGCCTTAACTTCCCTTAAACATGCCTTAACTGCCCTTATATCTGTCTTAACTTCCCTTAAACCTGCCTTAACTTCTCTTAAATCTGTCTTAACTACTCTTAAACCTGCCTTAACTTCCTTAAATCTGCCTTCACATCCATTAAATCTGCCTTAACTTCCCTTAAACCTGCCTTAACTTCCCTTAAATCTGTCTTAACTTCCCTTAAACCTGCCTTCACATCCCTTAAATCTGCCTTAACTTCCCTTAAACCTGCCTTAACTTCCCTTAAATCTGCCTTAACTGCCCTTAAATCTGTCTTAACTTCCCTTAAACCTGCCTTAACTTCTCTTAAATCTGTCTTCACTACTCTTAAACCTGCCTTAACTTCCCTTAAATCTGCCTTCACATTACTTAAATCTGTCTTCACTTCTCTTAAACCTGCCTTAACTTCCCTTAAACCTGCCTTAACTTCCCTAAAATCCGCCTTAACTTCCCTTAAATTTGCCTTCACATCCCTTAAATCTGCCTTAACTTCCCTTAAATCCGCCTTAACATGCCTTAAATTTGCCTTCACATCCCTTAAATCTGCCTTAACTTCCCTTAAACCTGCCTTAACTTCCCTTAAACATGCCTTAACTGCCCTTATATCTGTCTTAACTTCCCTTAAACCTGCCTTAACTTCTCTTAAATCTGTCTTAACTACTCTTAAACCTGCCTTAACTTCCTTAAATCTGCCTTCACATCCATTAAACCTGCCTTAACTTCCTTAAACCTGCCTTCACATCCTTTAAATCTGCCTTAACTTCCCTTAAACCTGCCTTAACTTCCCTTAAATCTGCCTTAACTTCCCTTAAACCTGCCTTAACTTCCCTTAAATCTGTCTTAACTTCCCTTAAATCTGTCTTAACTTCCCTTAAATCTGTCTTAACTTCCCTTAAACCTGCCTTAACTTCCCTTAAATCTGCCTTAACTTCCCTTAAACCTGCCTTAACTTCCCTTAAATCTGTCTTAACTTCCCTTAAATCTGCCTTAATCTCCTAGACCAGTATCTTGCCTGATGTAGAAATATGATACTCACCATCTACACACTCTTCTTCTACCTGACAAAGATGTTCCATAAACAGGCAACCTGTAACAAACAAATGTATATAGGTGTTAATTATCTACCACAGATCAAACAAATAAACATCAGGTAACAAACAAATGTATATAGGTGTTAATTATCTACCACAGATCAAACAAATAAACATCAGGTAACAAACAAATGTATATAGGTGTTCATTATCTACCACAGATCAAACAAATAAACATCAGGTAACAAACAAATGTATATAGGTGTTAATTATCTACCACAGATCAAACAAATAAACAAATGTATATAGGTGTTAATTATCTACCACAGATCACACAAATAAACAAATGTATATAGGTGTTAATTATCTACCACAGATCAAACAAATAAACATCAGGTAACAAACAAATGTATATAGGTGTTAATTATCTACCACAGATCAAACAAATAAACAAATGTATATAGGTGTTAATTATCTACCACAGATCACACAAATAAACAAATGTATATAGGTGTTAATTATCTACCACAGATCAAACAAATAAACATCAGGTAACAAACAAATGTATATAGGTGTTAATTATCTACCACAGATCAAACAAATAAACAAATGTATATAGGTGTTAATTATCTACCACAGATCAAACAAATAAACAAATGTATATAGGTGTTAATTATCTACCACAGATCAAACAAATAAACATCAAATGTATATAGGTAACAAACAAATGTATATAGGTGTTAATTATCTACCACAGATCACACAAATAAACAAATGTATATAGGTGTTAATTATCTACCACAGATCAAACAAATAAACAAATGTATATAGGTGTTAATTATCTACCACAGATCAAACAAATAAACATCAGGTAACGAACAAATGTATATAGGTGTTAAATATCTACCACAGATCAAACAAATAAACATCAGGTAACAAACAAATGTATATAGGTGTTAATTATCTACCACAGATCTAACAAATAAACATCAGGTAACAAACAAATGTATATAGGTGTTAATTATCTACCACAGATCAAACAAATAAACATCAGGTAACAAACAAATGTATATAGGTGTTAATTATCTACCACAGATCAAACAAATAAACATCAGGTAACAAACAAATGTATATAGGTGTTAATTATCTACCACAGATCAAACAAATAAACATCAGGTAACAAACAAATGTATATAGGTGTTAATTATCTACCACAGATCAAACAAATAAACATCAGGTAACAAACAAATGTATATAGGTGTTAATTATCTACCACAGATCAAACAAATAAACATCAGGTAACAAACAAATGTATATAGGTGTTAATTATCTACCACAGATCAAACAAATAAACATCAGGTAACAAACAAATGTATATAGGTGTTAATTATCTACCACAGATCAAACAAATAAACATCAGGTAACAAACAAATGTATATAGGTGTTAATTATCTACCACAGATCAAACAAATAAACATCAGGTAACAAACAAATGTATATAGGTGTTAATTATCTACCACAGATCAAACAAATAAACATCAGGTAACAAACAAATGTATATAGGTGTTAATTATCTACCACAGATCAAACAAATAAACATCAGGTAACAAACAAATGTATATAGGTGTTAATTATCTACCACAGATCAAACAAATAAACATCAGGTAACAAACAAATGTATATAGGTGTTAATTATCTACCACAGATCAAACAAATAAACATCAGGTAACAAACAAATGTATATATGTGTTAATTATCTACCACAGATCAAACAAATAAACATCAGGTAACAAACAAATGTATATAGGTGTTAATTATCTACCACAGATCAAACAAATAAACATCAGGTAACAAACAAATGTATATAGGTGTTAATTATCTACCACAGATCAAACAAATAAACATCAGGTAACAAACAAATGTATATAGGTGTTAATTATCTACCACAGATCTAACAAATAAACATCAGGTAACAAACAAATGTATATATGTGTTAATTATCTACCACAGATCAAACAAATAAACATCAGGTAACAAACAAATGTATATAGGTGTTAATTATCTACCACAGATCAAACAAATAAACAAATGTATATAGGTGTTAATTATCTACCACAGATCAAACAAATAAACATCAGGTAACAAACAAATGTATATAGGTGTTAATTATCTACCACAGATCAAACAAATAAACATCAGGTAACAAACAAATGTATATAGGTGTTAATTATCTACCACAGATCAAACAAATAAACAAATGTATATAGGTGTTAATTATCTACCACAGATCAAACAAATAAACATCAGGTAACAAACAAATGTATATAGGTGTTAATTATCTACCACAGATCAAACAAATAAACAAATGTATATAGGTGTTAATTATCTACCACAGATCAAACAAATAAACATCAGGTAACAAACAAATGTATATAGGTGTTAATTATCTAAACCAAATTAAACAAATAAGCATGGATGTTACTACATACATCACATACAGACAAAATGTCTCCATGGTTACTACATACATCACATACAGACAAAATGTCTCCATGGTTACTACATACATCACATACAGACAAAATGTCTCCATGGTTACTACATACATCACATACAGACAAAATGTCTCCATGGTTACTACATACATCACATACAGACAAAATGTCTCCATGGTTACTACATACATCACATACAGACAAAATGTCTCCATGGTTACTACATACATCACATACAGACAAAATGTCTCCATGGTTACTACATACATCACATACAGACAAAATGTCTCCATGGTTACTACATACATCACATACAGACAAAATGTCTCCATGGTTACTACATACATCACATACAGACAAAATGTCTCCATGGTTACTACATACATCACATACAGACAAAATGTCTCCATGGTTACTACATACATCACATACAGACAAAATGTCTCCATGGTTATTACATACATCACATACAGACAAAATGTCTCCATGGTTACTACATACATCACATACAGACAAAATGTCTCCATGGTTACTACATACATCACATACAGACAAAATGTCTCCATGGTTACTACATACATCACATACAGACAAAATGTCTCCATGGTTACTACATACATCACATACAGACAAAATGTCTTCATGGTTACTACATACATCACATACAGACAAAATGTCTCCATGGTTACTACATATATCGCATACAGGTAAAATACCTTATGGTTACATTATACTTCACATACAGGTAAAATTTCTCCACGAATGAAGCACTGCATCTGGTGCTCACTGCTCCATCTGGATCCATAAAACTTTATCACAAATAACCTCCATCATCCCCTACATTACAACTGCATTCAATATTGCCATTTGGTCTAAACCATTGCCTCATTATTTTCATCCAAACTTGAAACAGCAAAAAATCATAACTCTATATAGATTACATCAAATTGATCCAGTCGTTGAACTCATTGCAGACCATATTGATTCAAGACTACAGACCAAGTTTCATTAAAATCTGTTCATGTTTACTCAAGTTATCATGTTCGCAGGGTCCATGGTAATAAAACTGCAAAGGGCCATAACTCTGCAAATAACACTCAAATCAAAGCCATTGTCAATTTCATAACATATCTTTCTGATACAAGGCTGCATACCAAGTTTCATTAAAATCTGTTCAAACTGATTGAATTTTTGTGTGTACAGTGTCCATGGTATTACAACTGTGAAGAACGGTCATACCAGTTACCATCATAGTGACATAGTATATGGAAATTGTGTCACTGTGATGAATATTTGTCTAAGATGTATAGCTTAACAGACAATTAAAAGACTGATAATACAAGTAACAGACTCTATATTCAACGGAATTGTGTTCATTAAAAGATTTAGAATAAAAAAAAAAACAAAATAATATTTTTTGGATGTTGTCAATAATGAAAATAGGTTTTAAAAAAAAAAATGCAAATAATAAAAACAAGAATGTGAAGAATCTGAGGTCAATGGTTGATTAGATTGCCATAGTAACAGGAGAAATGAATTCTTGTATCAGGTATATATAGAAACACCTGTCAATAGTTTATGTCAAAAATCTATCTTCATTTTCAATATCACACATCAGCACATCACTGTTTACTCGCATGAACAGTCACCTTCACTGTGGCCAGTAAGAATTGATGTTTCTATTTTTAGTCACTATGTACGCAAGTATAAGGTACTTCGGAATAGTAAAAACAGCTTTTCAACAGACATTCCCACGCAACAGGAGATTTGTTCTGCCATTACTCTATATATGTATCCAAAATGATCTGTTTTGGTGCTGTATGACCATCCAATCAATACATTCATGGATCATTTTCCAATATTACAAAATAAATGTATTCATTACGCCCAAGTCCATGGCAGATGATGCCACTGTACCAAGGAAACAGGATAACAAATGATGTCTTGTTTCTAATAAAGTTTGTCTATTACAAAAGTTACTACCAACCAGAAACAGACAAAATCTTAATTTATTTCATTGTGTTTATTTTCAGAAAAGTACATATAATAATTGTTTACATGTTTTGGTCGCCAGCAGTAAAACGTTTTTAGCATTGGTTTTACAATAAATATGTACATTGAAGCTGGAACCTTTCACACACAGGACCTGGGCCCGAGAGTTCTTCTGATTTCTTTCAAACAAATTGCTCTTCACAGGGACATGTTGATAAAGACAAGACAGACTTCTAAATGTAAAACAGGACTACATACTGGTGTCAAGTTTTTAAAGTGGGTACATGTGATCTCCAAAATTGAAGTTTTTTTATGAAATAATAAGGTTGAGTACTAACAAGATCTATTGATTATGCTTTCATCAGAGCAAATTGAAACGTCAATTGTGAAAAGTATTTTTTTGCAATATTGACGACAGTTTATCGCCTTTTAAAATTATCAACGTATCATGTTGGTAACAATAGTGGACTCTTACTTGTTGAACTTGTTCGATGATAAACACAAAGTTTTTTCCTCGAGTTTATGAATAATAAGGGCCACCTCCAGCAATAAGCCCACACCTGATAATA